TAAGGTTTGGGATGCGGAACACACTCTCTTGATCTCTCTACAGAGGATTGGGAGAGTGTTTGTCTATCGGTCCACAAGAGCTCTCTGAATGTTTCAACACAAGAACAGAAGTACAAAGTCCTTACATAGTGGTATAGAACACCCAATTTTCTTCATAAAATCTTTCCTCAGGTCTCAGATACTTGCTGGCACTGTTGTTCTATGACAGGTACAATGACCCACATCTGGTGGGATTGCCCTAAAATTAGCCCTTTCTGGTTACAAGTACATGAAATAATCATGAGGGTATCCTCATATCAAATTGACTTCTCTCCGCTGCAAAACTGATTCATCATTCTGTATCCATGGGACGATCCTACCGCAAATCTCTGGTCATACACATGGTCAATGCAGCTCGTATGTGTATCCCGGTGCTTTGGAAACAAACTAGAACCCCGTCCTTGAAGGACTGATTTTTGAGACTCAATCACACCATTGAGATGGAGGAGTTGATGGCCACATTGTTAGATAGATTGGATAAATTTTGGAAAACTTGGATGTGCTAGATACATTTCCATTCATCTTCTGATTATCAAAATATCATGAATCCATGATAAACTGATGTGTAAAGTCTATACTAAGCTTCGAAAACTCACTCTGCTCCATTCTTTTTGTATGTACTGCATTTAGAAGGAGACTCTACATGATTTTTCTTTCCCCCCCTTTACATTTTTTTGTTTTTTTTTCTTTCTCTTCTTCTCTCCCCCTCTTTTCCTTCCCTCTTTCCTTTTCCCCTCTTCTGCTCTCCCTTCTTTCCTTATTCCTGTGGTTTCCATTTTTTTTCTTGGATATTTATGCTTTTTCTGTTTAGCCTTTATCTATTCTGTTTCATTACTGAAGGCATCCTGTTTAATTTTTGTGGTTATTACTATGTTACCGGTTGCTTTTACTTCTAGTTTATTATCATCTGGAAAGTCATAGCTTCTGACTGTACAATTGTCTTTTTACGCTCTCTGAATTACACTGCTCACTATTTTTATGTACTACTCTTGCTATGTCTGGCTTCATTCAATGTAGACGCTCCTCTCTGGCGGATCAACCAGTAATCGAATATTTTGTATAAGTACATATCATCAATTGTACTATGTTATGATGTTTTCATTTGGATTGTATGTCCAGACTTTCCTAATAAAGACCTCTTTTTTGTGGAAAAAAAAATCAAGCACCTAGACATGCAGACTGCTTCTACAAACATTTGTGAAAGAATGGGTCACTCTCAGAAGCTCAGTGATTCAAGTGTGGCACCGTGATAGGTTGCCACTTGTGCAATAAGTCCATTCATGAAATTTCCTTGCTACTAAATATTCCAAAGTCACCTGTTAGTGGTATTATAATAAAGTGGAAGAAACTGGGAACAGAACAACAGCAACTCCGCCACCAAGTGGTAGGCCACATAAAATTGCAGAGCGGGGAAAGCGCAGGGTGAAGCGCACAGTGCGCAGGAGTCACCAACTGTCTGCAGAGTCAATAGCTAAAGACCTCCAAACTTCATGTGGCTTTCAGATTAGCACAACAATAGACCTTAGAGAGCTTTATGTAATGGGTTTCCATGGCTGAGCAGCTGCATCCATGCCTTACATCACCAAGTGCAATGCAGAGTCAGATGCAATGGTGTAAAGCACGCCACCACTGGCCTCTAGAGTAGTTGAGATGTATTCTCTAGAGTGATGAATCAGGTTTCTCTGTCTGGCAATCCAATGGACATGTCTGGGTTTGACGATTGCCAGGAGAACGGTACCTGCCTGACTGCATTATGCCAAGTGTAAAGTTTAGTGGAGGGGGGATTATGGTGTGGGGTTGTGTTTCAGGGCTTGGGCTTGGCCCCTAAGTTCCAGTGTAGGGAACTCTTAAAGTGTCAGCATACCAGAACATTTTGGACAATTTCATACTCCGAACTTATGTTGGAACAGGAAGGGCGCATCACCAAACTGATTCCACAGACTGCACACCAGTGCACAAAGCAAAGTCCATAAAGACATGGATGAGCAAGTTTGGGGTGGAGGAACTTGACTGGCCTGCACAAAGTCCTGATCTTAACCCGATAGAATACCTTTGGGATGAATTAGAGTGGAGACTGCGAGCCAGGTCCTCTAGTCCAACATCAGTGCCTGACCTCACAAATGCGCTTCTGGAAGAATGGTCAAATATTTCCATAGACACACTCCTAAACCTTGTGGACAGCCTTCCCAGAAGAGTTGAAGCTGTTAGCTAAGTGTGGGCCAACTCAATATTGAACCCTACAGACTGGGAGACAGGGATGCCATTAAAGTTCATGTGCGTGTAAAGGCAGGCATCCCAATAATTTTGGCAATATAGTGATATATATATTTCCAAAAAAAAATTAAATTTGCACAAACCGTAAATTCACATGGAAAAGGCAAATGAATGTGTATGAAAATCTGTTTTTCTGAAGTAATTTCCAATGTAAATTTTTCCCAGCTGTTGGAAATCAGAGTTGAAAAGAACTATATATTTTATATACAGGTGACCACATCACACGACCTGTAGAGCTGCTTAGTTTAAAAACATACACTAATGGGGAATAAAGTTTTGAAAAAAAACATACTGTGATAAAAGCTTTGTCGAACTGCAGAGGTGTTAATGACTTGCTAAAAGCTCTCACTGAAATTGCAAATATGGGTAAAAACATGAGGAAAGCAGCTGGTGGTCTATTTAATGGCAATAGAAGTGTATTTGAATCTTTGTGCATGCAAATGTCTGCTTAAGATTGAAATGTTTCTCCTTAGTTGTGTTCAGCAAGGCTTAAACAGAAAATTTTTAATTAGAATTAAAAGAAAAAAAAAATGAATATTCAATCCTTGCAATTTAATTTTTTTTTATTTCAATTAATTAGGTGAGCAAAATATAGCATTTTCTTAATAAAGTTCATCAATAAAAGTGAGACTTACTAAACAGCACTAAGTGGGGTGCAAAATTTGCAGTAGAATCAATAGCTTCTTATAAATAGAGAGTGCCAACAAAGTCCAATCCATTCTAACTTATACACAGTCTTACCAAAACCAGCAGTAAATATTGACTACTATTAAACATTGCAAAGCTTAAAGGATAATGTGATTGGTGTTTGAAAAACTCACATTGATTCACTCTTTTAAGTCTTTGCTGTGTTACACTTTAATGTACTGTAAGTCTAAAACTACATGGGCAAATTTTAGAAGTTCAGTTAGACAAACAAAATTGGCAGTGATTTTCAGTAATCAGAAATAATCAGTAGCTGAACAGATGAGATCAATGGTTCCCTATTCAGTAAGTTACACAAGTAGAATATAGTTGTGATTATTTGCAAAATTTGGAGCAAAGTGTGACTAATTGTTATTGCATGCTAACATAGCCCATAGAGCACCATGTGGTTCCCCTGTTTAGTGACTGATTGCTACTCGAGCAATTATTATTTAACAATTTAAGCACTGTGATCAAGCTACTAAAACACTCATCATGCACTAGCTTAAGCACATTTTTACTGACTGTCCTATTCTTATGAATATATATTTGTGTTGATGAACACATTTTGCAAGTTAAAGAAGGTAAAATAGCAAGTACAGCATATCACGGAGCTGATAAAATAATTGAAAATCATTCTGCTACAATGTGGTGTGGTTTGTGTTCTCTTTTCAGTCAATCAAGTAAGGCTTTAAATCATTTATTATACAGATTAACAACTTAATTATCAGACACTTTCACCCCCTTCCTGGCCAGGCCAATTTCAGCTTTCAGTGCTGTCTCACATTGAATAACAATTTCATGGTCATGCAACACTGTACCCAAATTACATTTTTTTTCACACAAATAGAGCTTTCTTTTGGTGGTATTTAACTGCTTCCTTACCTCCCTATTGCTGAAATACTGCTATAGGGTGGCACGGGTGCTCAAAACCATGTATATATACGTGACTTTGGATTTCTGGGTAGGGGGCGCGTGCACGCCTTACCCGCACCGCCATTTGCAGCTGCAGCTTTCAATCACAGGTTCCCGGCTGGTGTTTACTCGCCGGGGCCCAGTGACTGCCGAGCATCTCTGACGGGAGGAGAACTGTTTGTAAACAAAACAGTTCTCCTCCCTTTCAGCTCATGCACAATGAAGCACACGAACACAGAACTTAGTAAAACAGCACACAGTTAACCCCCTTCCTTCCCAGTGTCACTAGTACAGTGTCAGTGCCTTTTTTTTTAGCACTGATCACTGTATTGATGTCACTGGAGAAGTCAGTTCCCCCCAGTGTAAGAATGCCCGCCTCAGTTCCACAGTCCGGCTATAAGCTGATGAATGCCGCCATTACAAGTAAAAATTAAAAAAAAAAAAATCCCAGTATATATACCGGCATTTGTAAACGCTATAACTTTCATGTAAACCAATTAATTTACACATATTGGGATTTTATTTAGCAAAGACATACATTTTGACCTAAGTTTATAACGAAAATAAGATTTTTTTAAATTTTTTTTACTGGACATGTTTAACCTCCCTGGCGGTATGATTATTTCAGATTTTTGGTGCTGAAAGCGGTACCATTATTTTGCATGGAAATATGTAGTTTTTTTATTGTAGGCTGTAATATTTAGGAATAACTCACTGAAATCTGTCCGAACAAGAGTCTATTAAACATCCCGGGTATGATAAAATGTGAAACACAAAATCATAAATTATAATTTAATAAATAATCATAAAAAATAATAATATAAAAAATAATACATTTAATTCAATAATATAATCAAACGAAAAACACTGAAATTTGAAATATAGTGCCAAGTTTGCACATCACTGAGCAAAGTCGCAAAATTTTTTTCAGTGTCTGATGACAAATTTCTCCATCAGTATCATCAATCATTATCACTCAATTCTGCAAGTAGTTCTAATTTACTATCGCTGTTCTCTAGCTGGTCTAAAACCGCTTTTGACCTAAAGGGACGCTTTTTGGACGCCATGGACTTTTCTAAGTTTCCAGGCAGAAAGAACAGTCAAAATGCAGTCGGAACAGGACAAAGCACTAGGGAAAAAATATATGTGAAATGGTTTGAAACAGCAATGTTTTACTATGTAAAATTTGTTTTGAAAAAAATGAAATTTTTTTAAAATTTTCAAATTTCCCGCCGCCGCCAGTACGTCCCGACGTCACAGGGACCGGAACCGGAACACAGAAGCCGGATGCCGGCATCAGCCGGAGGAGATGGCTGGGGACGCTGCAGGGGACACATCGCGGGAGCAAAGGACAAGGTAAGTCCTGCAGGGACTCCCTATACAGCGCCGCATGGTAAGCCCGAGTGTAGCTCGGGGTTACCGCTTTTGGTATAGACATTTTACCCCGAGCTACACTCGGGAATACCGTTGGGGAGGTTAAGGGGGATATGATCAACATGTATAAATACATCAGTGGTTCATATAGTGAACTTGGTGTAGAGCTATTCACCCTGAGGTCATCACAGAGGACAAGGGGCACTCTTTACATCTGGAGGAAAAGAAATTTCATTTCCAAACACCCTATGCAGCGCCGCAAGGTAAGCCCGAGTGTAGCTCGGGGTTACCGCTTTTGGTACAGAAACTTTACCCCGAGCTACACTGGGGAATACCGCCAATTAGGTTAATAGCAAAAGGACAAAAATATTGTTTTTTCTCAAAATTGCCAGTCTTTTATAGTACAAAAAAAAAAAAAAGTGCAGAGGTGATCAAATACCACCAAAAGAAAATTCATGTGAAAAGGTGTAGCATTGCAAGACCAGTCAGTTAAAGTAACGGAGTGCCGTAATGCAAAAAATGGCCTGGTCAGGAAGGGGGGTAAATCCTCAGGAGGGCAAGTGGTTAATCATCACTGTTTTTTTATATTTTTTTTGCTATACAAAGAATAACTTGTTTTTTTTCCAAATGTTTCAATCTATTTTTGTTATACAATTTTTCAAATAAATAATTGTTCTTATTTAGGCGAAAATGTATTCTGCTACATTTCTTTAGTTAGAAAAAAAAAAATCAGTGTTTATTATTTTGTCTGTAGAGTCAACGAACGATGTTATATATCTGAAAATTGATGGCCTATCTTATTTTTTTATCGCAAAAAAAAATTAGAACAGCACAAATACCCCCCAGATGACCCCTTTTTGGAAATTACACAATCCAAGGTATTTAGTAAGTAATAAAATTTTTTGAAGTTGTAATTTTTTGCATAATTTTTTTACATACTGTCACAAGTGCACTACAGTGTCATCATGTAACTGGTGTGGCAGTGATCATTGACACTCACTGGTGACAGTACAAAAAAAAATGGTAAACATTTTTTTCAATATATTTTTTATTTAATAATCCATAATAATCCATAGCTCAGCTATGGATTAGAGGAACTGAATTTATTCTCTCTTGAGAAGGAGATTAACCTCCCTAGCGGTATGATTATTTCATATTTTTGGTGCTGAAAGCGGTACAATTATTTTGCATGGAAATATGTAGTTTTTTCATTGTAGGCTGTAATTTTTAGGAATAACTCACTGAAATCTGTACGAACAAGATTCTAAATCATACATTTAATTCAATAATATAATCAAACCAAAAACACTGAAATTTGAAATATAGCGCCAAGTTCGCACATTACTGAGCAAAGTCGCAGAATCGTTTTCAGTGTTTGATGACGCATTTCCCCACGAATCATTATCACTCAATTCTGCAAGTGGTTCTGATTTACTATCGCTGTTCTCTAGCTGGTCTAAAACCGCTTTTGACCTAAAGGGAAACTTTTTGGACGCCATGGACTTTTCTAAGTTTCCAGGCAGAAAGAACAATCAAAATGCAGACAGGGGACAGGAGAAAGCACTAGGGACAAAATGTATGTGAAATGGGTTGAAACAGCAATGTTTTACCATGTAAAATCGTTTTGAAAAAAATGACATTTTTTTTTTTAATTTTCAAATTTCCCGCCGTCGGCGGCGCCCGTACGTCCCGACGTCACAGGAACCGGAACACAAGAGCCGGATGCCGGCATCAGCCGGAGGAGATGGCCAGAGACGCTGCAGGGGACACATCGCGGGAGCGAAGGACAAGGACAAGGTAAGTGCTGCAGGGACTCCCTATACAGCGCTGCATAGTAAGCCCGAGTGTAGCTCAGGGTTACCGCTTTTGGTATAGACATTTTACCCCGAGCTACACTCGGGAATACCGTTAGGGAGGTTAAGGGGGATATGATCAACATGTATAAAAACATCAGTGGTTCATATAGTGAATTTGGTGTAGAGCTATTCACCCTGAGGTCATCACAGAGGACAAGGGGCACTCTTTACATCTGGAGGAAAAGAAATTTCATTTCCAAACACGGAAAGGTTTCTTCACAGTGAGAGCTGTGAAAATGTGGAATAGACTCCCTCAAGAGTTGGTTCTGGCCAGCTCAGTGGATTGCTTCAAAAAAGGCCTGGATTCTTTCTTAGATACACAGAATATAACTGGATACTAACAATTATAGGTAAATTTGATCCAGGGAATATCCGATTGCCTCTTGGGGGATCAGGAAGGAGCAAATTGGATTGTGCTTTGCTGGGTTTTTTTTTGCCTTCCTCTGGATCAACTGTGGGTATAAGATTATAACTTTTTATTTTTTTCTATGGTTGAACTGGATGGACTTTTGTCTTTTTTCAGCCAGACTAAATATGTAACGCTAATCACATGGTACAAATGGGTTGTGATTGGCCCTATCTGTACCATATGATCACTGTGATCAATTACAGCTAAAAACACAATTGTACACAATGAATGACATGAAAGGAATGGTTTGCAATTGTCATGTGATCTGCTGTGATTGGTCACACCGATCACATGGTACTAGCAGCACCCTGATACAGTGATCTGTCATCAGCTGTGTCCTGTGGACACAGCAGGTGACAGATCGTGCCCGCAGCACTGTGCGCCAGGCATGTTCGGGGAGTATGTCATATGATATCCACCCTGAACTATTAAAGTCCCACCTGACCATCTTATTACAATAGGCCGGGTAGGAACTGGCTAATGAGCTAGGCTGGATTCTGTAAGTAGGAGGTTTAGTGTTGTGCAATTAAATATCGTTCACAAGTAGAACCTAACTATAGACAAAATGGGGTTGATTTATTAAAGGCAAAGAGATTGTGCACTTTGGAAGTAAAGCTGCTCCAGAGCTCATGTACAAGCTAAAATGCTGTTTTTTTTATTTTCTTTGAATGTGATTGGGTGTTCTTTGCAATTTGAAGCTTCACCACATTTACTATGCTCTGGCACACGTGCAAAAGCCCCTATATCCCTTTGCTCTATAAAGATAAACAAAACATAAAAACATATCACCAAATATACCTAATGTCAAAAGTAATAAAATATAAAAAAAAAATTATTATATAAACATAACTGTCCATAATGTCCATAACATTGAAGCATATCTACTGAGAGAAGCTCCCATTCAAACAGTGCAATCAGGCCAAGAAAACCATGTACCACCTGGTCAGTGGAGAGGGGAGGGCTCAGGTGGGCATAGCAAAGGGGAAGAAAAAGAGAAACCAAATGAAAATAAATGATCTCCAAAAATAGAAGGTGTATATATTAGTTTTAAACCAATATACCAAACAAAGAAAACATAAAACACAAAGCCAGATCAATCCACCCACAAATATATTTGAAATATATTTAACCTCCCTAGCGGTCTGAATATGTCAATATTTCTGTGCTCACAGCGATACATTTGTTTGCATGGAAATGTCGGTTTTTTATTGTAGGCCTATAATTTTTAGGAATAACGCACTGAAATCTGTCCGAACAAGTCTAGTAAATATCCCGGGTATGGTACAATTTGTATGTCAATGGTTTTTATTAATTTTTTTAAACAGTACAAAATAGAGGCAACAAAACATGCCCATGCAGGGGCTATCAATTGCACAGTTAAAAAATGCAAAATAGAAAAAACAGTGATCTAACGCCAACAGGGCAAAAGGTACGCCCACACAGGGGCTATCATTGGCACATAAGTTACAATAACATTTATGTAACATTAATGTAACTCTGACTATAACAACTAAAGGCAGCTGTCCACTGTCACACAAAAACAAACAGAGAAAGAGAGAAAGGGAAAAAAAAAACAAAACAAAGAGCGCCAATACCGAACGCCATTACATTCCCAGACTAGCCGGGGAGAGCGTGGGAAAGGCATATTGCAACCGTGGCTCCCACATTTTCAAAAATTTTCGTTGGGAGTCGTTCAGGATCACAGTGGTCTGTTCGTTGAGTGGTCATCCAATCCCGCATCCCTGAAGAGGGACAAACGGACTCTTCCAGGCCTGAGCAATTGTTCTAGTGGCCAATAAAAACAAATAAGAAACCAACTTCTGCTGGTGAGCCAAGAGGCCCGGTATGGGGCAATGAAGCAACGCATACCGAGCATCCTGGAGATGGAACAAGGTGAAAAGGAGGCCAAACACATGAGACCAAAAACTAAACAGTCTCGGGCATGACCACCAGATATGCAATACATCTCCACGATGGCCACTACCCCGAAAGCATCGATCACTACAGGCAGGGTTAGCCTGGGCCAAACGAGCCGGAACCCAATACCAACGAAACAATACCTTATAGGCTGCCTCCAGCGTGGTCGTATTAAATGAGCATTTAGCTATGAGTAACCAGGCCTTATTCCAGTCCTCCAGATCCACAGCTACTCCCAGGTCGCGCTCCCACTGAACAACATATGAAAGAAGTATGCAATGAGCGTCTGTTCAGAGCTGCATAAAGAAGGGATGTAAGGCCCAGGGTGCCCAGACGTTGCTGGCAAAGCTGTTCAAAGGCAGATTTCTGGTATGGGAAAGCAGACGTGCCCCGCAGCGAGAGCAGCCAGTACTGCAATTGAAGGTATCGAAAAAATTCCGCCGGGGGGACATCCCGGGTCTCCCGAAGAGAATTCCAGGTGGGAAAAGACCGAAAAATCAAAAAGTGTCACACCTGCGAAAAACCATTAGTCACCCACCAAGGAAACTCCCTTGGGTGATCTAAACCCAGTGGGAAAAGAGGGTTGTTAATAATTGGGAGCAAAGGCAGAAAAGGTGACATCAGGCCACTGGAGTAACGTACCGAGTCCCAGACTTGTAAGCCATGGAGCAACAACGGACTCAGTGCCATAGGGCGCAGGGTAGGGGGAAGCCATAGAAACGTCAACGTTGTGATAGGGGCACAATTCGGTAGTTCCAGAAGGACCCAGAGAGGAACATCAGAGGAAGCATGCAACATAGACAGCGGGGCAATCTGGCTCGCCTGATTATACTTGGCTACATTAGGCACCCCAAGACCACCCTGGAGTTTATGAGCAAAGAGCGTATTTCTGGAGAATCTGGGGTGCTTATCGGCCCAGATAAAATGCAAAAACTTCACCTGAAGCAACCGAAGAAAATGAGGGGAACCCGCACTGGGAGGGTGCAAAAATAATATAACAATTTCGGCAGGATGGTCATTTTCACCGAATTAACCCGTCCTATCCAAGACAGGTGCGGAAATTGGCAAGAATGCATAAGAGAAGATAGAGAGCTAAGCAATGGATAATAATTTGCAGCAAAAACAGGGAGTCATAGGTGGGGGTCAAGAGTATCCAAGAGAAGAGGAAGCCCATTTGTAAGGGAAGTGGGATTGTAGGCGCGAAACCAAATCTGAAGCCAAAGTAATATTGAGAGCGACAGTCTTATCCAAGTTAATACGGAGACCCGAAATAAAGGAGAAGCGCTCAAGAACCTGTTGCAAATTAGGAAACGTCGTCAGGGGATTAGTAAGAGTCAAAAGGGCATTGTCCGCAAAGAGGTTCAGCTTGAACTTCTGTCCTACGCATGGAACCCCCGATAAATTGCAATCGGTCCAGAGCGCTAAAGCCAGCAGCTCCAGCGCCAGGACAAAGAGCACCAGGGACAGTAGCAACCCTGTCTCGTCCCTCGCCCAATAGGAAAGGGATCCGAGAAATACCCAGCGTATTTAACGGAGCCAGAAGGAGAAGAATACAAGGCTTGAATCCAAGAAAGAATAGAATCCCCAAAACCCCAACGAGACAGCACAAACCGCAGATATTCCCAGGATAGAGGATCACAGGCTTTATATATGTCTAAGGACAGTAAGAATCCTGGGATTTTCCGCTGTTGCAGAAAATGTATAAGATGGACCACCTTACGAACGTTATCTCCCGCCTGCCTCCCAGGAACGAACCTTACTTGGTCCCTGTGGACCAGGCTACGCAAATATTTATTGATTCAAAAACTAAGGATCTTGCCCAATATCTTCAGGTCTTCATTAAGAAGAGAAATGGGCCGGAAGGCTTGCGGTTCCTGTACATCATCGGTCGTCTTAGGAATCATGGAGATATGCACTCTAAGCGCGTCTGGAGAGGGCAAGGAGCCCTGTCGTAACTCATTAAAATAGTCAGCCAAAAAGGGCGCCAACAGGGCTGAAAATTTCTTATAATAGAGACCGGAAAAGCCGTCGGGACCTGGGGCCACGGTGGACCGTAAAGATTTGACAGCTTGGAGTACTTCCGGTGCGGTGACACTGTGCTGCCTCGGATAACCCAGGAAGTTGGAGATCTTGAAAGATTGCCTCTGCTTGAGCCACAGGGAAGGGATCTGGTTTAGCGTAGAGGCGTGAAAGGAAGTCTGAGAAACAGGAAACAATCTGCTGGGGATTAGAAGTACAGCCACCTGTGGGAAGTCGCAGTCGGATCGGTTTATGGGGTTTCCCCACAGAATTAAATTTCCTGGCCATCATAGGGCCCGGCTTATTAGCACAGGAATAAAAGTTGTGTTTGGTCCAATGCAGGGCCCGTTCCACCTCCGAATAGGCAAGTAGGTCCAACTCATCCACCAGAGTGTCCTGAGCGCGTTTATGGGCCGCGGATGGAGATGACTTCCAACGGGCATCCGCAGAGGCCAGGAGAGACTGAAGCTCCAAAAGTCGGCGCTTCTGCTTCTGGACTGCTACCAGCTGTATAACATGACCCCGCACCATGGCCTTATGGGCCTCCCATAGGGGCACTGCCGAAGAGACCGATCCCGAGTTATCCGTGAAGTATGTTCGTAAGAAAAATTCTATTTGTTGCAGGTAGTCTGAGTGGTAAATAAAGAGTCATTGATGCGCCAATGAAAAGGGCACCGT